GTGTTGCTGTGACGACTTGCATCGTTTTTAATATGTCTTTGTAATCGCGCGCGATGGAAGGTGAGATGTTGGAGTCGATCGACAAAGGTGTCAGACGCGATGACGATTTTATTGACACGAGTCGTATCGTTTTTCTTGCGGAACTGCAACTGAAATCGGGGGCGGTCTTCGAGGCGCCGCCGCGAGATCTTTTATCCGATGGTGTCAAATATCACGAGGGTAAATAGCCCGGGGCGCGGCTCTCTTTGTCCAGCGCGAGTTATAGTACCGAGTGGAGAGGATACGCGCCACGCTGTAATTCACCTTGAGCCTCTGAGAGACGAGATTGCCGGCTGGAGAATCAACTCTTCGCGGTCGTCTATTTCGGTTTAGGAAGAAAGGACTGTGGAGCGTGCGACAGGAAAAAAGGCGGATTTCTTTAGCAAATATACTGCATGCGCATTCGCGAAACTCTCACCGGCAATCGTTACTTTTAATAATGCGTACTCGCGCTCGTCTCCGGCGACGTTTCGCGACTTTCAGTCGTCGCGCATTGATGACACGACGGCTTTACGATTCGCGATAGTTCTCTTCTCAATCAAAATAGTGGACGAAAAATGTCGGCGATAATATTATTACATATCGAACGACCACAAATTCATGTCACGTTTGGTTTATCTATAATTGACTGTCTCGAGATGGAGATTCTTTCGCATACACTTCTGCACCAGTCGATGTGATCACTGGAGGATTAGCGGGAGACAGTAATTTGACAGTTAACATTTGTTTCTCACGTAAATGGATTACAATTTACATATTCGCGTTACGTGCGAGCAGCGTAAGCTGCGAAGCGCTTGTCGCTCGACGATGTAAAAGAAGAACAAGACACTAACGTGACTCTCGCTGATTAATGACACGTGACTAATATGGTTATAAATTGATAAAGAATCAAACTTATTAATTCGTTCATTATAACGATGATAATCTGAAAGTGATTTATTTTGAGCGATAACCCTATTATGTTGGGCCACAGATTTGCATCTCTTGTTTTATTTACATATTTGCATATATATCTAAAATATATGTTTGACGTGCAATTTGAATGAATGGTTGTGCTAAACGCCCGTAAAGTGGGACACGCGTCAGGGAAATTTTTAAATCGGGCACGCGATCCTGCGTGAGGTTTGTGCGTGTTTTCGCCCGTATCAAGTGATACGGCTACGTTACATTAACGTGTGTTACGCAAAAGTCGCCCCGGTGGCCCCTATGTCAACGATCCGTCGCGTGTCGCTTATGAAAGCACCGTGAGTACATTTATACATGTAGGTAAACGAAGCAAACATTAGCTTCATATGGGAAGTTCAAGTCTTAATAAAAATCTTTCTTCCGCAGTGTAAAAAGATTTCGGTAAATTTACACGAATAATGGATGTAAACATGATTAAAAACGGAGACACACGGAGAATTATGTAACTTTGCAAAAATTATATAATTTTTTTACTTTTTATTGCGTAATATTTATTGTCTTTATTTTTTAGAAGAATCTTTTGTCATATCAAGAGAATTACTCGAGTAAATATTACGCAAAATAATGGTAATATTCTACAAATTATAGTTAAGTAAATAATTTATTATTTTACATTTATATATTATTTTTACGTAAATAAAATAAGTTTACGATTGTATGTGTGATCCGATTGGCTCGCTTGCGGTGCGTCATAAATTTAAAATTAGAAACTGTTCTCGAACTATTGATGCAAGGCATAATAACTGCAAAGTTACTTGTGCAATCCGTTTCGTCACATCATTGGAAATTAATTATACCCGCAAGCTGCAAATTACGTGTAGAAAATTACACCTGTAGTCGATTTTAAAATTATCAAGCAATAGTTGTAATTGTACACTAATTTTTTAATTATTGTGTTTGCCGCCATCTTGTACGCGTACAACATCGCCCAGTAAGAAAATGTGTGTTTTGCATGAATCGCGAGATATGTTTACGACGGATACACTTTACGGTAATGCACGCCGGCTCTTCGATTTTTATCTATGAACGCCGACTTTTTAAAGTTTTCCCGCGAAACGGGATCGAGAATCTAGCTTTCGTGATGTTACCGGACGATGCTGGCGGATTAATCTTTTTGCTTGAAACTTATTTTTACGTAGTGTCCGAAACTTTGATTCTCGGGAAACCCGGTAAAAGGAAACGCTTTAAAAGTCTACGTTTGGTCACTGGAAAGTATCATCAAGAAATTAGATGTAGACGTAAAAATTAAGTATAGTGGGTACTTTTTTGTCACTTTACTGATTTCATCTCGTGAATTTTTGCGCAGAGATAAATTATTCGCAGGGACTTGCCTCGGTTAATGCTTGGCGAGATCCGTTTCACCGATTCGCATGCGCACGGAAATGCGTGCCTTATCACAATGGGAAAAGTTTTGTCCGCGAGTTCGTCGGTGTGTCTCTCCGCAGGGAAAACTTCGATTGGATTAATACAATGTCAAGAGCAGGTTGCGGATTCTTTCTTTCGCTAACAGGTTTTCAGTTGCTTTTCTCGTTCTTCTTGCCGTTCCGTTAGGTTAAATAACAACGTGCGAACTTTTGTAGAATAGAAAACGAGTGTTCTTTAAAGGCTTGTAATTAAAGCAGACTTTACTTGCGCGAGAATAACGGAGTATTTTTCTGCTGGAGTTCCTCTTATCCGTATGCCCGGTTGTGCTCAAGTGTTTACGTGCGTGCGCTCGCAAGGCGTTGTGCAATTAGCGAAATCGTTAATCGATGGCTTAGGAATTTCCATGATGTTTGCTGACTCTCGGAAAGCGAAATCATCATTAGCGAGTAACATCGTGAGCATTAATATTAATATTCGGCGGTCGCTTCGATTGCGGAGTGCGCAGTCAATCGTTTGTCAATATTTACTTTAACATATTACCCCTCCGGATGCATCTCGTTATTTGCCGGCGACCGTGCGGAGGGCAATCCGAAATCGATCGCTTATACAGACGTTTTGCGAATCGATATATCTGTATTCCGACGTACAGTATGCCGCAGTGAAATTTCGCGCACTTTCGCCTAATCGCGCAAGTGGCTGGCAGCCGCACGAAGGTGAATAACGGATGAGCGCGTAATTAATCATTTTTTAATCACAAACAAAAGTTATAAAGGATTTTTGACGAATCACGCGTTACACGCTGAGCGAGCAGAAAAGCCGTCCTTGCTATTGATTCTCTCGTCTTTTCACGTGTGTCCTGTGTATATTTCAATGCCATGCAAACGGAATAGCCGACTCTGCGGCTTGAAAGTGAAGACAGGGGAGAGAAGCATCACGCGCGTTTACGCGCAAGATATTTGTCTTTCTACTTCCGCGCCGCAGAATGACGTCGTCTGCTTGTTTCCGGATATTCCGAGAGTTCGCAATAGTCCGCCGCATTCCGTCTTGCTTTCGTACCTTGATGATGAGTTACACGCATTTTGAGGAAGCATCGCGTTTGCATTGCGGATTTCGGTCGATTATGCGAAACGACGGACTTGTCGTTTGCATAATTTGCATAGTAATATCGATAAATAAGTAATCGCGCCGAGACGGCGGTCACTTTACGACGGACACGAGCCGTCTCCGGGGTTGAAGTTAGATGGAGTCAGTTTCCCGAGCGGTACGTCCAACTTTGGGACAGCCTAATTAAACTATACTTAATTATAATTCCTCCGAATACACCGTGCGTTTCGGCCGTGAGCACCGACTGGGGAGGCCGTCATAAATTTAGTTTTTAATTAAAAACATTTTGTTGATATGATCGAACGATTAATCATCCTGTGTAAATTTTTTTAAACGCCAAAATATTTGTCTTTCCCTCTTTGCGATGTGGAATTGATCGACAAAGTCAATTCCGGGATATGAAATCTAGTGATTATTTTATCGCAGATCGCTATTTCTCTATCTTTGTCATTAATTATGTCTATATTATTATTTTGATATTTGGATCCTATTTTTATATTATAGAATTTACTATTTGCTATTTTGCACAATTAACAGTAATTAGAGGCTATTCACGTCGAGCGTGTCTTTATTCGGTTACTGTCCGTCTCTGCGTATTCTCAGTTCGCGTTGACATTCTACTCGTTCTCGGTTAGATTAATCGTGAATTGGATCTCTGCTATATCTCTGACGTAGACACACGTCAAGCATTTCTGTTCGGCGGTCCGGCTAGAATATCCCTCCGAAATCAGCAAGCCAGCGAGCCGGATGATTTGGATTCAGCATAAGTTACCGCCCGGTGGATATGCCTTAATTTTCGCGAGTGTGTCACACAACACGCAGAAATGTCTTCTGACATCAAAGGTGCAATGTCTGCGCCTCATCGGTTCTGAATGCGGAAACAAGATTATCGTAGAATAGAGATTATCGGATTCTGTTTCTGAAATATTTCCTTTATATCTGTCAATCAAAATTTTGGTCGCCGATTTTATTGCGAGTAAAAGAAAATTGCATATATTGTATATTTAAATCAAAGATGAGCTTGTACATTATTTTTATAAGATATAAGAATTTTTGACATCGAGTATTGCTTTCTCTAAAAAAAGCTACATAATATTGCGTAACATTGACATTAACGTTTACAATAAATGTTGGATCGGAAAGATTAAAAAAGATAAATAATTATTCTTCTCATTACGAAAAATCACTTGCTTTTAATAATGAAAGAAAGACACGAATAAACTGGCGACGTAAAGAAGTGGGAAGAGAAAAAATAAATCTCTTTTTGCCGTTTCAAAATTGACGTTTAAAATATTAATGATTGTGTAATGGCAATTTTTAGATTAGGAAAAATACAAGTTAATTATTGATAATTATGCACTTCTCGGAATTCATCCTTCGCCGAACTGGTCGGTGTTGCGGCGGCCCGCTGATCTAGCGACGATGGTGGTGGCGGTGATAGTGGTGGTGGCAATAGGAAGGGGAAGTCGACGCGCGCGACCATGTGCTCGCGTCGTAGACGCTCGATCGGCGCGATCAGTCGACGCCGCGCGCTCGTACCGGTTACGTTTTGTTGGGTGTTGTCTCTTCGCACTTGGCGAATTGCGTACATCGATAACACGAGCGAGACACGTCCCACCCTCGTATTCCACACAGTGTGTGTCTGTGTGTGCGTGTGCGTGAGACTCGCACACACGGTGTGTGGCACGTGTGTGTCACGTTTTCTCCCCTCTCTCCCCCTCCCGCACACTTATTCTAATGCGCCTATCTCGGCGCGCGATGACGACGGCAATCGCGCGTAATCGGTTCTCGCATTCTTTGCGTGTGTGACGTGTCTTTTCCGCCGGGAGGAAAGCCATCGCGTGGAACAAGCGCTTTTCCTCAGCGAAAAGACAGTACTGCCGGAGCACGGTGGCAAACAGTCTTCTCGGAAAATGCCAAGGTGATTCTCTCTCTGCCGCTTCCCCTGCCTTCGTCCGCCCCGTCCCATCTTCTCGGCGCCTCGAGGAAAAACAATCGTCTCGTGGGAGTCGTCCGCGCGATAAGAGCGTGTATTTTTCTCGCGTCGGATCCTGCCGCAGGCTCGCGTGTCGCGGCCTGTTTTCCTGGATCTCTCCGCTCCCCCGATCGGTCGACACAAAGTGAAATCGCGAGATCCGCACGCTGGAGCGTGATCCTCAATCGCTTCCAACACGCTTTCCGATCGCGGTTGAGTCAGGATGCATCACACGGCGCCGTGGTACCTGCCCTGGGGTCTGAAACTGGTGCCGTTGCCGATTCCACCGGGACATCCGGCACCGGGCATCCCGAATCCCGCCGGTCTCCACCTGCTGGCACCTTTGCCGGGAATTTACGCACCGGAACCGCACAAGGTAAGCCGCCGAGTCTCTCGTATCTCGTGCAAAAGCATCTTCCTCCGCAATTTCGCCACCGGTATTTTCTCGCGAAACGCTTAATCCCCGCCACAGAATGGAAAAATGTTCCGCAGGAACACGATGATATTGACGAAAAATTACTGCAATGTGCGCGCGGAAATCGAGTTAAGTGAGCTGCGGAAGTTGGAAATTGATTTCGGATCCCGAGAACGAAACTTTGAAGTTCAAATGAGATACATCATGTTTCGCATTCAGACCGCAAAGTTTTAATTTTACTTGAATTTACGGGGGGTTCAAAGTTGGTTATCGCGAAGTAAGCGCGTTTCATTCTCTTCATTATCGCCGGACGGGAGGAGCTTTCGTGCTTTTCGAGCAAAGGCTCCGTTCATCGGGCTACGCCGAAGTCGTAGTAATTGAAAAGTTGCGATGCTGTTTCGCGAGACCAGAGTCGTCCTTTTGCTTTCGCGAAATCACTCGCGAAAGACGGCGGCATTTCGAGTGGCTTCGTCCGTCAATAAGAACACTTTTGGTTCGCGATTTATTTATATCCGACCGATGCCCGAATCGGTGGAAGTAGGCCGTTTAGGAATAATGATCGCTGATAGAGCGGGTTACGGGCAATTGCATCAAGTATTATACGCGGTGACGTGAGCAGCAGATGTGCTGCGGTCTTATTTCTTCATGAATCACGCTGTCTTGCAATCGGAGCATCAAGTTATCTTTTCAGTCGCAGTGAAGTGTAGAATCGTAAACGATATATAATCTTGATTTAATTGACGAATGACATGTGATTTTGAAACAGTGTCTTGCATCCAAGCGTCTTAAATATATTTCTATTATGTGTGTTGAAAAATTTATAATTTTCTCTGCATTTTAATCGCGTAAAGCACAAGATATTGTTAAATTTGCAATATCCAAATTAAATTAAATTAAATTTGCCAAATAATCCAAACGCGGACTCCGCGGAAAATGTTTCGTGAAGAAAAAGTTGCTTGAGAATGTCAAAAAATGGAAAAACCCTAATGGAAAGTGCACGTCGAAATTAGATATGCCATAGCGTGCAGACGCTTCGTATGTATTATTACAATTGTTAATAACGTATATCGCGGCACAGAGGAGCGAGTCTACCTATTTATAAATAATTAGATCTGTCTGCGTGCCAAATCCGATCCAGTTATCTGGTCTGTTTGTCCTTAGCGCGCTTCTATTCTAGGTAAAATCTAAATAGTCTACGCATACGAGGGCGAATGCATCTAAAATAACCTGCAGAATGCTCGCGTCGCGTGTATTAGAGATAGCATGACGAGTATTCATACTGGCCGCCGTCGCCGCGCCGTCCGCGACGAGGAGTCAGCAACCCTGGCACCAAAGATCCATGGAATCCGAATTAACTTGGGGAACCGCGCGAGAACGATAACGTACGCGATAGCGGTCGCTGAATATTTTACGCCGCGCCGTGAATTATGATGCGATATCCGGGTTGGGGGCGGGAGAGGAGGGGAGGGAGAGGGGCAAAAATTGGCCCGGCGCTGTTGGTGTGTCGATAAGCGAGCGAGAGTCAATTTGTGCGCGACCGCCTCCATCAAGTTTTATGACAAATGAAGACATGTTCTGCCTTCATCGTTCCGTCCGTTACTTATCCAACAGTTTTGGGAGGAAAAGAAGGAAAGCTAAATCACGGAATCGAGTTCTATAATAAGAAACATGAAGCTTCTGGGACGACTTGATTCTCGGAGCACTCCCGCGCGCGCTTCATCAAACTCGATATAACTATGTACATAAATCTCTCTCCACGCGTTCGACGCGTACTAATAGCCTCTTAATGCCGTCGCACTTAAAACGTGTTTTATTAATGCGTCGGATCGATCTTGAGCGCGGGGATGGTGCACTTTTTCTTCCGCGCTGCGCTTCAGATCAACCGGTATGACATGTTATCGCTTGGAAAAATTTTGACCTTACTCGAAGCTCACCGGAACGGAGTGCTTTTCTGCAGTTTTCGCATAAAGAAGGGAAATAATTTTTTAACGCGCGGCGTTTACAGCACTACTAGCCCGAGGTCAAATAATAATAAAGATGCTTGCGACTAAGAAAAAGAGCTCGTCGCGACGTCCGTGCGCGAGGTAATGAAATTACCGAGGGCAAAGGTTAGCCTCCTCCTCGTCTTCTTACCCTCTGCGACTCTTTCGTCTCTCTCAGGTCTCGTCTGTCGGGTGGAAACCGCCGGTGGGAACCCGGTGGCGCTCTCCTGAAAATTCGTATCGAGCAAGTACCGTCGCCGTCGCCGTCGTTGGAGCGCTCCGGCAACGGCGGATACGCTCCAACGACACGGTAAACGTTTCCCGAGTGCATACCTATAATTTGACGAGCACTTCGCCGTCACTTCGCCGTATTCGCATTTGCGGCGGCGCTTTTCCGAAGCGACGCGCGCGCGAGCTCTCGCCCACTCCGCCTTCCGGAGAGAGCGCGGCATTATCGTAATTCGTGGGGTATAAAGTTCTCTGTATAAAGAAATGGGAAAGGACGTTGCGAGGCGATCATGCGATAACATCGATGGACTATTCAAAGTTTAACTATAGAGACTTTTCGAGCCGTGCATTGCAAAATTGCTAATTGGAGCCGAACAAGATTTTTGTCAGGAAAATGTGGATGGATGGTCGACGAGTTCGTATTTCGAATGACATTTTCGGCGCATCTTGTTACCGTATCTCGCATGGGCCCGCGATAATCTATCGATCGCGCAGGGTACGTTTTCTATCTTTCGGGAGATCGCATGTTGCCGGAATAAAGGTTGCAGCCGAAAACGGCCGCCGGACGTGCCGTTACGTCGACGAGATATACGCTCGCGTGCACCTTGGACGCCAAGTCGCCTGCATATACGCGAGAAGCTGTACACACTTTACGAGCAAACAGGTGCGCGGCGCCTTCGACCGACCGGTCCGGTGATTCGTTTTCCACGTGGAGGAAATCTAACGCTCGATCGACCGCATTAATTCGATGTTCCTTGCGAGCGCTTTCGGACCGTTGTCTCGCCAAATTTTCCGGTGATACTGTCCGAAAAGAAATAGGGACATTAACAATACGATGTCATTGAACTACCGGTACTTTTCATTCCGACACTGCAATGCTTCGTCGATAATTTTTTTTTTTTGCACGATATCAGCAATTTTGATTTCGCACATTTTTCTCTCTTTTCATTTGACTTTATTTAATTCGACTGTCGACATGTCCGTGATCGACATGTTGCCTTCGTGCTTGAGCGCGTAGTGTGAATCAATCTGTCCCGAGCCATTTTTTTATTACCTCATTGATTTAATAGCCAGGACTGTTTGTTTGATCTGAAGTATTTATTTTATCAGAAACTATAGAATTGTTAGAAACAAAGCCGAAACTTTCAGTTTTCATAAAATGATACATCTGCCGAGCAAGAACTTTTGCTAATAGTCATAAGATTGCGGTGAGTGAGAACTTTTGAATCCATAAAAGTACTCAGACGCATCTCAGTTTTTCCGAATCACTTGTTCCGATTCACTAGAATTATTCGTCTATAGAACTATTTATTTTATCTATCTATGTGAAACTACAGAATTATTAAAAATGAAACCAAAACTCATTAGTTAAAGTTTGCAAGATATGATATATCAACTTTACATCGATAAAGTGTCTGTGTGTGTCCAACTGCATTACAACAGTTGGACAGCAGTCGATCATTGTGCGCCAATAACTGAAATAAATACATTTGGTTTTCTCGTTGATTGCGGAACAAATTTTATAGAATATCGACATTTATTTATTTATTGCCACTGGACACTGTTGATAATCGAGATAATGCCGAATTGGGTGATTCACATATTTCAACTTGGCGTATATCTTGAAATATTTTGAATTGAAAATGGATAAATTCCCGTAGCGGCTCATCGATTTGCAATTTGTTTATTTGCCGTTATTACGTGTTGACAGTATCGCGCTCAATGCTTGTTCTTACGCGCAAAATAACAGGTTTCAAATTGTTATCTTCGCATTAGTGTTGATTATGTGATCGATGTTACATAAGCTCGTCTATTAGTTTCTACGGAATGTCTGGTAAAGCGTGTACATGAAGCTTACCGTTCTTGGGAGAAGTTGAAATCGAGTTTCTCCGAGCGAAGTTTTAATTCGAAGTCGTTTTCATAACTTCTATATTTTCAACGCTGGACATCTTGGTTATTAATAAGTCTCAGATTAAAGTTTTCTTAAGATGGATATTAAACGACGGAATGTTCACATTAAATGTCCAGTTGCGCAGTTGAACTCGCGAGAGTTCTTTTATTTCTTCAGCTCGGATAATTCAATTGGTCAAGCTTCCGATTAAATTCTCACCAAGATCAAATTACGGCAGCTATGTGTTATGTATCTCTGCGAAAACGTTTCCGATTGCAATAATTCCGCTTTTCGTCAAGCTGTTTTATTACGGACATTCGGATAAATCTTGAACCGATCGGAATGAGATTCCGACATCTCGAAAGCAAGTAGAAAGTCCATTATGATCAGATTAAATATTGACGTTCACGCAATTTTAGGGTTACTTTTATATTTTCAATAATTTATGAAAAATTACTTTAAAAAAAATTTATATCAGAACGCTTAGACTTTAATTAAGTTTTCACGATGGCAAAAATGCAAAATATTTAAAATTTTTTTACCATAATTATATTTGTTATTTTGCATTTTTATTTATTGCAAGTCAATTTTAACGAAATTTATAACAATTTAGCAACACGGACGAAATCGCGATCAGACTCGTAAAAGTTACATAATAGCTGGCAACATGTAAATTGTTTGGCGAACTATTTTCTTAAATAAATGCGCATTCCGCTAATTTCACGGGCCATATATCGAGCATTAAATGTCGATAAATTCTCGTGTTCGCGCAGCAGATTCTGTCAATTAGATCCTCCATCGCGTTAAACGGCGAAGCCGCAGCGGCCATATACGCGCGCGAGACACGATGGCACATCCGC